ATAACCGGTGAATCTCCCAGTTGTGGTGCCGGTATAGGTGCACACTGAGGATGAAAGGAAACGATGCCCAAGTATGAAGAAGACGACGGCTACGAGTCGTTCAACAAACAGACGGGTGAAGATCGAAATTGGAATGAAATTCATGAGAATTATGAACAACTCGACGCATGGATCTGAAATTATTTTCGGTATATGTTCGGTATATGTTCGGTATATATATATAAATAATTTCAGAAAATAGTATATGTTCGGTATACATATATAATTCCAGAAAATAGTATATGTTATGTATATGTTCGATATAATGTTAGGTATATTTATATAAACCCCAATATATATATATACATATATATATATATATATATAAATATCAGATCGGAAAAAACCCAGAAAATATACTACATATATACATAAATCAGTTTCAAAACGAAGATAATACATGTTTTTTCAGATATAATTATTAGTTTATATACTGAATATATACGCAATATATACTGCGTGGAATTGAGATGGAAATAAATTGACACGCAATATACCCGTAACTGAAAATCGCATCATTTGAGGAGGTGGTTACACTAAATATGATAACTAAAAATATTCTGATGTAATGTATAATTATAATTAATTAACATGAAATTGGTAAACTTGCAAATAAAATTTGACCCTTGGTAGAATTATAATTTTTTCTAAATCATGTAGTATAAATAGAAATTCCCCAATTGAAAAAGTGTAATGTGTTTTAATGTAATTTTAAATTATAATATCAATAAATTTTAACTCAACATATGATAGGTAAGTAAAAAGTCATTTACGCATACAATGCATCAAATTATACATAGTAATACTGATACTCTGATCTAATTTTCAAATATAACAAACTAACACAATCCAATTTCATTTCCAGACAAAAATTTACGGGAGTATAGCACAACTCAACCCAAACAAAAATCAATTCTTAACATGTCACAATTGTTTTGCATCTATTTTTCTTTATTATCGGTCAAATATTTATTTTTTGTTAACTAATTGATAGTTTGATGCAGACCCTAGTAAGATATTGTCCGCTTTGGGCTACTTCCGCCACCCGCACGGCTTTGTTCTTGGCTGGGCTTCAATACACACCCACCAAAACGCGTCTTACT